TTGGTTGGTTCGTTGGTGGGTTTGTTAGTTGGTTGGTTGGTTATTTGCTAGGTTGAATGATTGGTTGGTTTGTTAGTTGGTTGGTTGGTTCTTTGGTTGGTTGGTTCATTGGTCGGTTTGTTAGTTGGTTGGTTGGTTCTTTGGGTGGTTGGTTCATTGGTTGGTTCTTTGGTTGGTTGGTTCTTTGGTCAGTTTCTTAGTTGGTTTGTTAGTTGGTTGGTTGGTTTATTGGTTGGTTTGTTGGTTGGTTCGTTAGTTTGTTCGTTGGTTGGTTGGTTTTGGTTGGTTTTGGTTGGTTGATCGGTTCATTGATTCTGCATTTTCTGCATCCAGAGTTCATTCTTTTCATCTGTTATGTTGCCTGGAGATGGTTTTTCATTTGGCTTTAAGCTGATCCAGTCAACATAAGAAAAGACACATGAATCGTAAACTTTTAGCCAATAAGTCCAAACAATCTATTTAAACATGTTTAAATGTTCATTAGAGCTGAAAGTTTACTGCAGTTTGGTTAATAATTTTTTTAATTTGTTCAGACAAAGTGACTGATATTTCCCAAATAAGTAAACTAACAATAAAAAAAAAATTAAGAAGCCACTAAAGTTTACTGTATGTATTTTGTGACTGTTTTTAAGATATTGTTTCTTTTATTATTCTGTTGGTAAAATGTAGAATTACTTTATGTCAAATCGGTCAGATTTAGAGAAATATTTCTGAAGGAAAGCTGAAAAATCCACAATCCCCATTTTATTTTACAGTGTTTTGAAAACATAAAGAGGTTGTTGTGGCTACTTATAATATATTTCAAGTTGTGTTGAGTTTTGAATATTTTTTTAGCTGTCTAAGCTTGCAGCGCGTTTGTAAAGTATTAAGTGTATTTTCAACAGGTACAAATAAACGCCACTTACCTGTACCCTCTTTCTAGTTCAACTCCCAGAAACCTTTTCCTGCCACAGAATTTCTAAGAAAAGCGGCGAAGCTGCCACATTGCTTTGACACGTAGCCTCCAGAGCTTTTATGTTTTTTTTAAAACAAACAAAACCGCTCGTCTTCTCTTCTGCCCTCGTCTTTTAAACTCCTGCTGAACGGTTCGTCCCCGGGGTGGATTGCTGCCAGTTACACTCTCTGCTGCTCCAACACTTCAGAAGGTTTCTGTGGAGAAACAGAGGATGCAAAGATGGCTCACGCTCCTCCATGTTGGTTCTACTCGTAGCTGTCAAACCTGCTGCTCTGTACTTTGTTGTCTGCTGCAGACGGTTCATTACAGAAGAAAAAAGGCCGAGCATTCCTTGAAGGAATGCATATCGCCCGCCACCTTTCAAGACTTAAATTCATTCCTTCAAAGAGTGATAAGCCTTTTTTGAATCAATTAAAATTCATAAAACAGTCGCATGCTGATTTTTGCAGGACACCACCAGGTTTCCTTTGGTTTGAGCCAAACGGTTTTACTTCAGAACTGGACAAAGTCGGAACACTTCGGTAAATACTGGCTTGTATTTATCAGCTCGGCCTGCAGTGTCTTATTCTGAAAGCCAACAAAGGGATGAAGATGAATCATAAAGAAGTGCAGTTTTCTTCGGGGAGAAGCTGAGGAGCTGCTGATTTTAGTTTCCTTTTGATAATTCAAGCTTGATATGAACTTGTATCTGTGGTGAGCGCTGAATTATTAAAACGTGAAGAATCTGTCAAAAAATGATTGTGCAGTTCTAGACAAATGTACTTTAACAAATTTGACTTATTATATTTAAAGCGAAATAGGAGAGTGGTGGCCCAGAGGTTAGAGAAGGTGGGCCTGTGATCAGAAGGACACTGGTTCAACTCCCTGGACCAACATCAAAATATGGGTGGGATAGGTGAAGCAACCACACCTGCCTCCACCCTCATTTGCCCCACTCTGGGCCCTTGAGCAAGGCCCTTAACCCCCAACACCTGCTCCCCCAGGCACCCTAGATGACAGTGGTACACAGATTACTGTGGTAGCTCGGTGCTCTGTGGCAGAGCGTCCAGCGTCAAAACAATTGCCAAGGTTTCATGTGAGTTAGTTAGTTCGCTGTGGCGACCCCTGAAGAAGGAGCAGCCGCAAAATATAACAAAGTAAAGCAAAATAACACTTTTGATCCATCGATCTATCCAAAGCATGCGTCTGTCTGTCTGTCTGTCTCTGTCTGTCTGTCTGCATATACTGTGTGTGTGTGTGTATGTATAAATATATACACACAGACACACATAATCTTACAATTCATTAGTTATTGATTTTTTTCTCCAACACCTCTTGACAGTAAAGCTGAGCTCACCCATGTCTATACTTTCCACTTTATAATCTTTTCAAAATAAACAATATAGGCAGAAAAAAACTTGATAATCTGTTATTTGTTAAATAATAATATTCACATAAAATAATGATTTGATGACCACTGCCCAACCTTAATAAAGGTTTATTTGTTTACTTGTTACATGTAAGCTGATTCTGCCAAATGTGTTCAATCAATTCTTTTAAAATAAATTCTATACACTTTATCAATGGGGCTGCAGCAGCCTGATGGTCAGTGCTGCAGTTATTAACCTTTATTTAACCAGGCAAATCCCACTGATCTCTTTTACGAGGGAGGCCTGGACCTGAAGGCAGCCTAACATGCATGTTTTTGGTCTCAAAAGCAGTCTTGGAAATAGTCTCATAACCCTGAGACTACTGGTTCGAGTCCAGGTAGCATCCAAAACTGTCTCTTTATTGTAATGTACTGTAAATGGTAAATGGACTGTACTTATATAGCGCCTTTCTATCTTATTGAGATACTCAAAGCGCTTTACTCTACAATCTGTGTCCTCATTTACCCATTCGTACAGCACTCTACTAGATCTCTACAAAGATAATTGAACAAATTATTCGAAAGAGACTAATCGGTGTTTTATCACATTCATACACTGATGGGACACACATCAGAGGCTATGAGGGGTTCAGTGTCTTGCCCAGGGACACTTCAGCATGTGACTGCTGGTGGATTTGAACCCCCAACTCTTTCATTGGAGGACGACTGCTCTAACCACTCAGCCACAGCTGCCCCTGTGCAAGTTAGCTCGCTGTGGCGACCCCTGAGGAAGGAGCAGCCAAAATAAAAACAACTTATTTGTTATATCATTTTAAAAAGGAATTATTGTAAATGGTTTTATCTGAAACACTTGATATAATTAGATTTTTTTTTTTTTTTATAAAGTGTAAGTAACTTTCCACCTCAGAAAATGCATTTGAGTGTTTGTATCAGAGCAGCAAATACAGACTGAAGTCTGGGAAGGTCTACAGATTACAATGATGAATGGGATATGAATGATGAACAAAAGCATTTAAAGGAATACAAGTATGAAACGACAGCTTTCTGCTGATTTTACTCTTCTAATGCTGAAGCTTTTTCTTTGGATCCAACACAAATTCCTGTCTTGGACCCGCTCTTTTGTTAACGAGACGCTCTCTTTCTTCTTTTCTTTTCTCAGGTGTTCCGCAGAAAGGCTGTGGAATTGGGTGAAAAGCTGCTGCCGGCCTTCAAAACGCCCACAGGCATCCCCTGGGCTCTGCTTAACCTCAAGAGGTAGAACGCTCACACAGACCCTCTCTGTTTGTCTCTCAGCAGTCCACTCCGGTGGTACTCCAGGCGGCACGTCTGTTTTGATGGTTTGATGCTTTAAAGAGCTCTGTGGTCTGCGGCTCGGCGCACGCTGGACGAACACGAGCCCTCCTCTCCGCTCGCACTCACTGAGATGTTTTACTTTTACATGACAGGGCAGCCTGAGCAGATTCAGGTCTCTCTTGTAAACGAGTCCTCGTGGTTCAATGGGACTAACCTGTTTAAATAAAGGTTGAATGAATGCAGGCTGGTGTTTTCCCCTCAGGGCTCGGTTAGAAATTGTTTATACTAACACACACATTCAGTGTATGATTCAGAGTATGGGATGTATGTCAGTCAGTTTGATCCAAAATGGCCGCCACAGCTGATCAACCTTAGCAAACTCAAAAATGGCTTTGACTCAGCCAGTTTTACATATAATTGAACTTAAACTGGGTGTAGTAGTAGCTGAGAGTCATTCCCAACACATAATTTGAGCACTAATTGATCATCTGAGATCAGTTTTTATACGCTCATCAAAAAATAGGCTTATTATGTTATGGTAGTTATTGTATAGTCTAGAGCCGGACCGATATATCCGTAGGGCTGATATTTTAGGCTGATATAGATATTTGGGAACATATCGGCATCTGTGATATTTGGCCCATTATGCGCTGAAATAAACGATTCTAATTTTCACCCCTAAAATGCTGGGAACCAGCCGTGTCCTTACTTGCAAATGGTGTATTTGTATAATGTATCCAGCAGAGGGCGCGTGTTGACTACTTTCAAGTCATGGCCATGCTGGTCACATCAGCACGTTTTATCTGACCAGCGCATGGTAGGTTTATTGTAACTGATTAGTAAAATGAAAAATCAACAATAATGAATTCTCTTCAATCCTCCATCCCGCCCGTCATTAGCCACATGCCTCTTAAATTAGCAAGCTAACCCAACAAAGTCAAGTCAGGCCCTCTGGACAGTTTCTTTTTTTTGGGTGTGCTACTTATGGGACTGAGTTTGTTGCGGCTCCTCGGACTGATGAAGTCCTTTGGATGGAAAGACGAAACGTTTCAACAAAAAGAAACCGTCCAGAGGCTCTGACTTAACTTGGATGGATTTTTTTTAAACTGGAGCATTGAGCAAGGCCTTTGTCGTTAGCAAGCTAACGTTTAGATAACCTAGCATAGGCTATTGCCTTGTAAAACTCCATCGAGAACAATAAATATTACGTAGCGGTAAATATTTATCAGTGTTCGTCACTTTATCCTTTTTGTCCTGAATGAAATGTATTTTTTCTCTGAAATCTTTTAGCTTTTTTCTTAGATTCTTGGGGGTGGACAAAGCCCAAAAATTTCCAGCCATTATATTTATCAGCATTAGTCCTCCCCTCCCAATATCTGTATCGGCGATAGCCAAAATGTCTATATTGGCCGTGCTCTAGTATAGTCGTTGTCTATCTGTACGTCTATAAACTTTCTCTTGTCCCACTCATAACTTCTGATTCGCTCAAGATAATTTAACGAAACTTCATACACATCTGCATTATCACCATACGGAGTGTCGCGTACACTTTTATCACCCCAGCCTAGAGGTCAAGGTGACAAATCAAGGTCAAAGTTTCAAAAGGAGCTTTGCTTGTCTGGGTCAATACTTCTGATGCACATAGGTTAATTTAATTAAATCACTAAACCGAGTGTCCCATACACTTTATCATCCCGGCTGCAAGTTGAAGGTCAACAATCAAGGTCAAAGGTTATACAAGGCCTTTGCTGTAGATTGTCAACAGGCGTATGATGTACCGTGTGCGGTACTCTTGTTGAAGCTTTCCCATTGCAGTTGGAGTCAGTTTTGTCTGTGCGTTAGCAAAATTTCTCATGGACTTCCTCAGTCTTTATATACTTTAAAACGAGCATAACATCTCGAACTGCAGTTCTGCTAAATATTCCTAGTTTTGTCATGTAATTCATGTAAAACCAAGATTCGATGTAAAATTGTAAAGAAACGATTTTGAGAATTTGATTTTTTTTGTTGTAGAGTTTTATTAATTTTCTTTGACGTGTTTGACGCACATTATAGAAGCACACCTAATCTAATTAAAATCAGATGTAGCTGTGATCAGACGTCAGGATGTCGGATTTAGAAAAGCTGGTGTTTTTTAATGAACCACGTTCAGATGTCTGCCGGCGCGTTTCAGCGGAGTCATCGTTCATCTGGCGGTCGCGTGTGACGAGAGACGGGATGTCGTTTATTAGTTTGTCATACTTTAATTAAAAGGCAGGTTGTCATGACGATAAATGCGCTGCAACAAATTAATTTTCCTTGGGTCTGTATGGGTGAACGGACGGTGCACCCCCTTGTCTTTCTCCCTGATGTGAGGAGCACCCCAGGGAGTGGGTGCCTTTCTGCATGTGTGCTTGCAGATCTGTGGTCCCCAGAGGGCCGAGCAGAATGCTGCAGATGATGATTTTACCTGCATGACTGAGCGATGATCGCTTTGACACACACACACAATCCCGTTCAGCACCATTTACAGTAAGACTAAAACTGTGACATGAAATCATGATTTATTTTTCTAATATACACCAGAATATCATCTTACGGAAGCTGGTTTGTATTTATAGAAATAGATGCTTTGTCATTCTCCTTCAGTGTTTCCATTAAATGACCTTGTTGGAGCAAATTGTAGACTTGGCAGCTGTTGCATTTGAATAATTAAAATCATTTTAAAGTAAAAAAAAATACACATTTTCTACAGTCCAATATAGTTCAGTGGCTCAGATTTGGCTTACCACAGTTAAGATCTTCCCTTCTTGAAGGAAAAAGCCAAATATTTGCTCTGAATAAGACAGTTCTGTTATTCAGCATCTCACAGAATATCCACACCTTTCTTGTGACCAGTTTCTCCACCTCTGTACCTTTTGTTGTGCGTTAGCCGTTCATTCATCAAAACGTTCAGCTCTTTCAGGAGATAGGCGGCCCCGACTTTTGGTTTTTGTCACTTTTAAGATTTTCAAATCATTTAACTTTATTTACAAGTATATTGAGATGTTTTCAAGTCCTCTAAAACCATTTTATCTGAAATCAAATCAAGCATTTTTGATTTGTTATTCTATTTTTATTCTTTAGTTATCCTCGAGTCCTTTTTTAGCTTCTATACAGTCTTTTGCTACTTTTTGCATCTAGCTAGCCCTTTGGTACTTTTAGCTACTTTTAGGTTTTTGTTAGCATTTCACTGCGTTTAGTTAATTTTGCTATTCTTAAGCTTTTATGTAGCCTTTTGCTACATTTAGTTTGCTTTTTTGCTTCTAACTAGCATTTTGCTGCTTTGAACTTTTTAGCTAGTCTTTACTACTACTGTCTTTCAGTTAGCGTTTTTCTTGTATTAGCAAATATTTTGCACCTTTTAACAACTCCGTTTCAGCTTCTTTAGCAGAATTCAGCATTTACGCTGCTTTTTCCCTGAAAATCAGTAACTCTGGTTTCACCGGGCTTGTTGTGGTGTTAGAACTTCGTTTAGCTTTTTATAAAACCTAAGCTTTGTTTCCTGATGCGTGCTCAATAATCCAGGCAGAAAAATCTAAAAAAAAAAGTGAAGTCTGGTCCTCTGGACATTCAAAAAAACAAAACTAAGCTAAGCTTTGTTTCATTGCTTTAAAAGTTCAGCCTGAAAGTTTCTTGCTCATGTCCACATGTCAGTATTTGCTTAATAAACCCTTTTACAATAGAAGATACACAGTAGGAGTGTTTAAAGTGTTTATAACGGAGAAGTTGAGAAGAAAACTGAAGTACTTTTTAAACTTTTGAAGGTGGGATGCCGTCGTCCTGACCTTGACCCAGATTGAAACCGAGCAGGTCTGTAAACGGACAGTTTCAAACCCGACCCAGTTATTATTCATCCCCGTCTCCTCACTGCTTCGTTCTGAATCTCTTCATTCTGAGTTTTTATCTAAACTTTTTTTTTTTTTACAGCCCAGTTTCCTCCACTTTCTTTTGTCTTTGGTCGGTGCGCCCATTTTTACCATCAACGAGCTAACGTCTCGTTCAGCTTCTGGACGCGGAACTGAAGTCCACTCCTCTGCGTGACCTGGTTTCTTTTTATTCCCCTTACGACTTGTCTGCAGGGTCCAAGACGACTGGCGAGAAATGAGGCCAAGCGTTTACAAGTTTCAGTTTGATAACACGTAAACTAGAACAGGTTTTAAACTGTCTGAAGCTACTTTTACCAACAAAACTTTAGGTTAAGCTGCAAACTTTACAAGTTGAACTTGATCATTGCGGTTGGAAATGCATCGGTAAGCTGGAACATCATCTCCACTCCACCACAGCAAGACAAGAAGTTTGTTTCTAAAAGTCAGCAGTAATAAAATTCAAAACATTAATTTTGAGATTTCCATTTGACACTGTAACTCTATATTTTGTTTGTATTTCAAACAGTGAGCTTAAAATGGACGTATTTCTCAATGTGTGTTTTAATGCTGGAAAGGGACTGTGTCCAGTATAAAACCAGCTGTTGGCTGGTCTCTGGGTGCTGTGAATAAAAGATGAAGGAACATACAGTTATGAAGACACCGAATTAGTTGTGGAACTTGGACGAAAACAAAAGGTCAGGTAGTTAGTTTTGGAGATGAGACATCTCTGCACAGTGTCCAGTCCATTTATCTTCTAGCTTCACTTGAATCGGTTCGTGTTGGCCCCTTGAGAGGAGCAATACATCAAGATTACCACATAAAGGATCATAATTTGCCCGTGTTCACACATCTACCAGGACTTCACCTTCTTATTCACTCTCTTTTCTCTCTTTCTAGGTTTTATAAATCAGTGCGTTGCCACTATCTGAGCAGAAAATGCTACGACGTTCTTCTGGATTTGTACAGTTGATCGTCACAATCGCAACGCTCCTTAGAGAAATTTCAGAAGTTCTACAAACAGATTTTAAAAGAGTCCTAATTTAGGTTTTTGAGAAGTAAAAACGAGGCAAAAGA